CTGAGAATTAGTCTCTGAAAAATGAGTTCCAGAGCCTGAGAGTGAAGACAGGGTCTTAGAATTCTTCTAGTCTAGTCCCCACACCAGGCGTAGTTTGAGGTTTGCTGTTTAGTTTTCAGTTTATATCAGAAGAAATGTACTTTCCTTAACTTGTACCTGCCTGCCTTGGAGGGGGAACGTGAGGATTCCCCTATTTCTGTCCCTGGAGTACCTGGGGCTCCAAGGAGGAAGCAGGCATAACAAATGAATGCCCAGCAGGGAATCGGGGCTATCTTTGGAACATAATATTGTTTAATGGTTAGCTTGAGGCAGTTGGAATCAGAGATTCTTGGCTTCTATTTCCAGTTCTATTTCTGACTTACTGTGAGACCTTGGATAAGCCTCATCCTCCTCTGTGCCTCTAGCCTCCATCTGTATTTCCATCCTCTCTTCTTGTAAGACGTGAGTTAATGTCAGAACACAGTGCAACTAGCACTCCTGAATGATAGTGGTATGTTTACTGACTTCAACCTCTTTTGGGATTAGGCAGCAAGTTACTTCCTTCCCTGGTGACTTATTTTTCCCTCAGTAAAATGGGCATATTATCCCCTTGCCTGATCATCACAAAGATCCCTCTACTTTTGGGTACTTTCCCAGGCCATCATTTCTGCTCTGGCTTGACTTTCTTCTCTTTCCCTTTTCTATTCTTTAGTTAACCAGTTTAAATCTACATTTCCCTCTACTATTGAATTGACTTCCATTTGTCTTATCCTGGCTTCACACTTTGCCAAACCCAAACTGCCATCTGCCTCCTCTGATTCTCCTTGTTTACTGCTGAATAGAGCTGGAGGAAGTCTTGAAACTATACTGATTCAGTCCACTGAAAATTATCTAATATTAACTGGGCCCTCACTACAGCAAGGCAATCCTTTCACTGCTCCCTAATTGATTTTTTATTTCACTTTCCGTAATAGTTGTTTCCTAATATCTTTTCTCTCTTCAAGTCTGTTATGTCCACTTCACAGCTGAGGACCTCTTCTACTCTTCTATGAAAACAGAGCCCTTTCACTGAGCTCCCTCTTCATCCCTTTGACATGGTACCCTATTCTCTCTTCCTTTCCTCGAGTCTCTGATCATGAGGTGGTTCCTTTCTTGGCCAAGACCAGCTCTCTACATGTGCCTTTGATCTTAGTCCCTCCTATGTTATCCAGCAAACTACCCCCACAATTATTCCTTAACTCTTACTTTCACTCTCTCCCTATATACTAGTTCCTTCCCTGATGCTTACAAATGTGCCAAGTCTCTCCCACCCTTAAGAAATCTTCTCTAGATTCTATCTTCAAGCAATCATTCTGAGCTAGACTCCTAGAAAATGCTGGCTTCATTGGTTGCTTCAGTTCCTCTTCTCTTTTCAACTCTTTGCCATATTGCTGTGGTCCTCATCAATCAACTAAAACTGCTTACTCTAAAGTTATCAGTGATCTCTTAACTGCCAAGTCTAATCGCCTTTTCTTAATTTGCAGCTTTCTTGAGCTCTCTCTACAGCATTTTGACCCTATTGACCTTCTGCTCCTGGATACCCCCTCCTCTCTGGGTTTGTGTGACATGTTTTTCTCTTGAATCCCTACCTTTCTGTTATGTCTCCTAGATCACCATCCCTATCCCACCCCCTAAACATGGGTGTGCTGAACGGCTCAGTCCTATGCCTTCTCCTTTTCTCTCTCCACATTATCTTGATAACTTTGTCACTAGACAAGTCCCTTACGTTATAGATAAAGAAACTGAGGCTCATAAAGGGTGAGTGATATGCCCACATAGATTTAATTGTCTCTATACTAAAGACTCTCAGACCTAAACATTCAGCTGTAGTCTCTCTCCTGAGCTCCAGTTCTGTATTATGAACTACTCAACATTTTGAATTGAATGTCTCATAAGACATTTCAAACTGAACATATCCAAAATGGAACAAATTATCTTTCCTCCCAAACCTATTTCTCTTATGAAATGCCCTTTTAAGGGTACCACCATTCTTCTGCTTACCAAGGTTCAAACTCTCAGTCTCTTCCTGGACTCTTCACTCACTCTCATTCACCCCATATCTATCAGCTGCCAAATCTTGTTCCTCCATCCATAAGATCTTTCATTTTTGTCCCCTTTTCGCCACTGACATTGCTACCACCCTACTTCAGGCTCCTATCGCCATTTATCTGGAAATTTAGGATAGCTTCTTGACTAGTCTCTCCCCACTCCAGTCCATCTTCCACACAGCTTTGAGTGAGTTTCCTCAACCTCAGGAACAAACATGTTACTCTCTTATTCATTACTCTAATGGCTCCCTATTTTCTTTAGGATCAAACAAAAACTCCTCTGTTTGGCATTTAAAGCCCTTTACAACCTAGCCTCATCTTATATTTCTAGTCTTATCACATATTATTCCCCTTTTCAGTACTCTGAGGTATCCTTACTTTTCCTTATTCAAGTCCTCCATCTCCCATCTCAGTGTCCTTACAATGGTTGTTCCCTATGTCTGGAATGTAATTCCTCCTGACATCTGCCCCTCAGAATCTCTAGTGTTCTCCAAGGCTCTGCTCATTTGTGAACTTTTACATGAATGAAGACTTCCTGATCCTTTTTTTTTCTTTCAAAAGCTACTGGTACATTTTCCTCAAAATTATTGTGTATCTTCACCTGTCAGATTGGCCAAGATGACAAAACAAGAAAATGATAAATGTTGGAGAAGATGTGGGAAAATTGGAACACTAATGCATTGTTGGTGGAGTTGTGAAATGATCCAGTCATTTTGGTGAGCAATTTGAAACTATGCCCAAAGGGCTATAAAAATGTGCATACCCTTTAACCCAGCAATAGCACTTCTAGGGTTATATCCCAAAGAGATCATACAAATGGGAAAAGGACCCACATGTACAAAAATATTTATAGCAGCTCTTTTTGTGGTGGCAAATAATTGGAAATTGAGAGGATGCCCATCAATTGGGGAATGACTGAACAAGTTGTGGTATATGAAGGTAATGGAATACTGTTGTGCTATAAGAAATGATGAACAGTCTGACTTCAGAAAAACCTGGAAAGACTTGTATGGTCTGATGCTGAGTGAAGTGAGCAGAACCAAGAGAACGTACACAATAACAGCCACGTTGTGCAATGACTAATATTGATAAAACCCTTCCCAGCAATACAAGGATCTAAGACATCTCCAAAGGCCTAGTGATGGAAAATGTTATCCACATCCAAAGAAAAAACTATGGAGTTTGAATGCAGGTTGAAGCATACTATTTGCTAATTTTTTTTTCTTCTGTTGAGTTTTGTTTCCTCTGTCTGGTGGTTCCTCCCATTGGTTCTAATTCTTACTTACAACATCACTAATGTGAAAATATGTTTAATAGGAATGTATATGTACATCCTATATCAGATTGTGTGCTGTCTTGGGGAGGGTAGTGGGGAGGAAGGGGGAGAAAAATCTTAAACTGAAAAGCATATGGAAGTGATTGTTGATAAATCAAAATAAATTAATTAAAAATTATTGTGTATCTTTTTCTTATCTTTATCTTTTATCTCACTTTGATAGATTTGTGAGGGCATAAGCTTTTGATAAGCTTTTTGAAGGCAGGAATTATTTCACTTTTAAGTTAAACAAGATAAAAGAATAAAGATAAAAATAAATAAGATAAAAAACACAGAGTACCTGGTACATAATAGGTGCTTAATAAATATTGATTTATTGATTGATGCAATCATAGACTTTTAGAGCTAGAAGGGACCTTATACAGTGATGGTACATCAGAGATTTAGCCAAAGTCTTATAAAACCTTTGTTATGACAGATAGTGATTGAATACTAGAAGAGGTTCTTTAATTTGAGACCCATTTTAATGCATCGATTCATGAAAGGCCTGAAAGGGTTAATAATAACTATTCTTTGCATTTGTATAGTGCTTTATGTTTTTCAAAACTCTCTCACCCAACATAATCTCATTTGCTAACCAACAATAATTACCAACAAAGTGGATAGGAGCAGGTGGTGTCATCTCCATTTGATTGATGAGGAAACTGAAAACCAGACTTTTCTGAAGTCACAGGAAGAATTCATGACATTTGTTGTTGCTGTTGTTCAGTCACGTCTGACTCTTCATGACCCCTTTTGAGGTTTTCTTGGGAAAGATACTAGAGTGGTTTGCCGTCTCCTTCTCCAGCTCATTTTACAGTTGAGGAAACCAAGGCAAACAGGGTTAAGTGACTTGTCTAGGGTCACACAGCTAGTAAGTGTCTGAGGCCAGATTTGAACTTAGAAAGGTGAGTCTTCCTGATTCTAGGTCAGGCACTCTATTCACTACACTACATATCTGCCCTTTGACATTACTAGGACTAGAACCCAGGTCTCCTATTTCATTTCCATTGCACCATGTTGTCTTCCAAAGCACCTTTCTCTCAGTGAGTAAATTAAGCAAGAGGAGTAACAAATGTCTACCGTATTTTTTTCGTAATTTGGAATCCATATTCTGAGGGGAAGGAGGTATGTGTGTATGTAGATCTTAGGCAGCAGACTCGGAGGCTTCCCGTTATGGGAACAGAAGAACCCTGTTTGGACTGAATGTCCTAGAAGAATATTCTTTCTTGACATAACTTTGGCTGTTTGGGATTTTATCTCATTTGGCACAATTTTTGCTGCTTATAAAACACATACTTTTTTTTAGCTAGAAGGGATGTGTGTATGTGAAATTGAATACATGTGTATATTAATAACCATTTGTTGAGTACCTCTTGTGGCAGATGCTCTCTCTGCCCTTAAGGAGCTTATAATCTAACAGGGAAAGACATGACTCACCTGCATACTAAGCAATCACGACCAGTGTGAGTATGAGGACCTTATTCTTATGGAACAAATCCATGGTTACCATCCACCAAACATTTGTAAAAATAAGAGCTGCTTACATTTCTATATGTAGAATATAGATAGTAAGAGCCAAAAAGGTGTCTTAGACTATTTTATTTTATTTTATTATTAAAAATATGGAGCACTTTAGGAATTTACATGTCATCCTTAAACAGAGGACAGGCTATTCTCAGTATGGTTTCACTTTTAGTATTGTGCTGCCAAAGTGGGCACAGACACCATCTAATTTAGTTTCCTTTTACAGTTGAAGAAGCTGAGGCCTAGGAAAGGGAAGGGACTTGTCCAGGTTACCTGGTTATCTTGTGGCATTATCTACTTTGATTTTTTTTTTTTTGAGTCTTTCTTGTATGGACTTTCCAGGGCTAAAAACAAATCTCTGAGTGTATTAACTTGTTGTCTTTTCCCCCAAACCCTCATTTGGATTCTATGATTTCTATGACAACCCACTTTCACATATCTTGGCATGTTGGAAACCTTGGGGTTATCTTTAACTTTTTCAATTAGCACGGCTCTAGGCAGTGGGGATACAAGTACAAAGACTGAAACAATCTCTACTTGTAAGAAGCTTACGTTCTTTTGGGTTTAGAGATGTCACTATCAGGCATGTGGAAAACTCTGCTGGTTCATAGTGACAAAACTATAGTCTTCCCTTGGTTTTGGGATTCATGCCCTTGTTATTTTGCTGCTGGCTTCAGACTCTGCTAGAAGCTGGAACTGAGACCTTCAGGGTCTTTGGCTGGACACCCTGGAGCTATCATTGCTCCCAAAGTGGTCTGATCCAGCGTAAAGTCTGATTTCTTCTCTCCTGGTTTGAGTTTTACAGGTTCCTGACTTGTGTGTGAGTCTGAGCAACATGCTTCTGGGCTTGTTTCTGGGTTTGTTCCTTGCTTAGTACATAGCTTAGGGCCCTTGACCTCTCTGCATCTTGGAAGGTCACCCCTAATCCCAAATTCCCTCCATAGTCTGCCCTGGACATGTCACCCAGAATTGGGTAGTGAGCAATCAAGCTGCCACTTTAAACTTATTCCTTCGTCCTGAAGAAAGTTAGGTCCCTCTGTGTTGGTTTTGAGACTTCTTGTACAGCCTGTCCTTGCTCTGGATGCTGCAATTGGCTGTTCCTGACTAAATCCTCTCCCTGCAGACCTCTCTGTCTATCTATGTGGACCTGGGCTGGAAAATGATTCACTGTGATTTTTTCTTGGATTTTCTAATCATGATTTTGTTTGGTGCCTTTTCTAGGTTTCTTTGGAAGAACTGTTGGGGGAGGGGAAATTACTGTATTTCTTCTTGCTGTTCTACCATTTTGACTTTCTCTTTCTCCCAATTTTAAAGATGAAGAGACTAAGACACAGAGAAAAGAAATAGTCATTACCAGAAGCATTCCCTTCCTATACCATATCTAGTATCTCCAATGAGGTATAAATACTTTGTTTTCTGTTTTATAACTCCTTTAAAAAATTAATCTGACAAGCACATATGCAGAATTATTAACAGCTTCTCCACCATTTGCCAATTTCTTTTGTAAGGTTCCTTTTAGTTCTGACATTTTATGTTCAGACATTCTATATTCTAACATTCCATTCTGTACTGTAACATGTATGAAGTATGAATTTATAAAGTGGAATTTTCATACCTGTATACCATAGCAAATAAGAAAGAGTTAGTTCCTTTCCTGACTGGAGCCAACCTGAGTTTTGTTAGAGGTAATGTACCATGAGGCTGGAAAGGTTTCTTCCAGTTCAAAAATTCTGTGGTTCCATGTCTTGCCTTGAGGGGTTTATCTCCCAATACTACACATAAGAAGTTATTGGTATATTTTGAACTTAGTGGAGTCCTTTAGAATGTTAATGTTGGTGGAATAGGATCTATTATAGCAGGCTTCTATCACTTGTAATCATTACATTTAGGTGAACTAGAGTGTATAATGAGAGATCACCTAATGGATTCAGAAGGCTTGATGTCCGGAGATCGGAGTTTAGTCTTGGTCCTGTCACTGATTAGCCATGTAACCTTAGCTTCTGATCTTTCCCATGCCACTAGGCAGCTATGTAACCTTGAGTATGTCATTTTACCTTTTGGGGTTCTCAGTTTTCTCATCTGAAAGAGTTGGACTAGATGTTCTTTAAAGGCTTTTCCTGCTCTAATGTTCTACTATGTTCTGAGTTCCTGTCTAGTTCCAACACTATGTGCTCTAAGTTCCTTTGTGGCTCTTACCTTGCACGTTGTAGGGTCCCTTTTGTTTTTTTCTTCTCTTAATAAGAATTTATTTTCTCTCTCCCTCTCACTCCACACCTCTTCTTAATTTGAAAGAAAATGAAAACTTTGTTAACAAATATACATAGCTAAGCAAAACAAATTGTCCATGTCCAAAAATTTATTTTTCATTCTGCTTCTCAAATCCATCATCTCTCTGTCAAGAATAGGTAGCAGTTCCCTAGAATCATGGTGGGTCATTGCATTGATCAGAGTTCTTAAGTCTTTTAAAGTTATTTGTCTTTATAATGTTGTTATTGTATAAATTGTTCTCTTGGTTCTACTCACTTCATTCTGGATCATTTCTTGGAAGTCTTCCCATATATCTCTGAATCCATCCCTTCTGTTATTTCTTACAGCACAATAATATTCTATTACATTTATATGCCATAATTTGTCCAGTTATTACCCAGTTGATGGACTCTCCTTTAATTTACAGTTCTTTGCCACTACCAAAAAAGCTCCTATAAATATTTCTGGACATATAGGTCCTTTTCTTCTCTATTTGATATCTTTGTGGGTATTGATGTGTCAAAGTATATACATAGTTTAATGACCTTTGTTGTCACGGGCGGTTATGTGGTACAGAGAATAAAGCACTGGGCTTAGAATCAGGAAGGCTCACCTTCCTGAGCTCAAAACTGGCCAAAGATATTTATTAGCTGTTTCCCTGGGCAAGTCACTCAACCCTGTTTACCTCAGTTTCCTCATCTGTAAAATGAGCTGGAGAAGGAAATGGCAAACCACTCCAGTATCTTTGCCAAGAAAATCCCAAATGGGATCATGAAGACTTGGTCATGACTGAAATAATTCAACAACAACAAAAATTACTTTTGAAGGATAGCTCCAAATTGCTTTCTGGAATTTCTGGATCAATTCATAACTCCACCAACAGAGCTTGTTTTCCAATAGCCTCTCCAACATTTGCCATTTTTCTTTGTAGGGTTCCTTTTAGTTCTGACATTTTATGTTCTGACATTCTATATTCTAATATTCCATTATGGACTGAAACATCTTTGAAGTATGAGTTTATAAGGTAGAGTTTTCATACCTGTACAGCATGGGAAATAAGAAAGATTTAGTTCCTTTCCTGAATGGAGCCAAAGTGAGTTTTGTCAGAGGTCACGATTGTTGGAGCTAGTTTTCTTAGTTCTGGAGGTCCAACCATGTCATCAGCACTCCCTCCCCCCAACTCCAGTGGCTCCCTATCCCCTCCAAGATCAAATACAAAATCCTTTTTTGGCATTCAAAGCCCTTCATAATCTAGTCCCCACCAACTTTTCCAACCTTCTTACCCCTTAGTTTTCATCACATACTCTCCGATGCAGTTGAACTGGCTTATTTGCTGTTGCAGGAACAAGAGACTCTGAGTGTTTTCTCTAGCTGGAATGCTCTCCCTCCTCATCTCTACTAGCTTCCCTAGATTCCTTTAAATCTCAGATAAAATCACATCTTCTACTGGGGTCCTTTCCCAATCCTTCTTAATTCTAGTGCCTTCACTCTTTAACTGTTTTCTATTTATCCTGTATACCACTTGTTTGTACATATTTGTTTGATGTCTCTTCCATTAGATTTTTTTTTTTTGGTAAGGCAATTGGGGTTAAGTGACTTGCCCAGGGTCACACAGCTAGTAAGTGTCAAGTGTTTGGTCTGAGGCCGGATTTGAACTCAGGTCCTCCTGACTCTAGGGCCGGTGCACTATCCACTATGCTGCCCCGTTTCCCATTTGATCTTAAGCTTCTTTAGGGCAGGGACTATCTTTTGCCTCCTCTGCTGTTCCCAGAGTGTTAAGGCACAGTGATTAGTACATTTTAGGTGCTTAATAAATGTTTATTTGCTGACTGACTTCCTGTCTGAAGCACAGGCACCATTGGGTCCCTAGGTGAGGAAGGGAAATTGGAAGACCTGCCCTTGCTAGTAATATGATTTCCCCTTCTGGGTCTTGCCAAGAAGCTAATAATTAAACACATCAGCACATGGTTCATTGAGAACGGGTGTGGAAAGAGATTCAGGGAAAGTTTCCAGTGGTATTGAAAGCCAGTCTGTGGTCAGGAAAACAACTGCTCCAACTCCAACATAGGCAAGGTGTTCTGGGTTTATTCTCTGTTGACAATTCCCCATCAAATGCTTGGAGCCTGTGAGCCAGAGACAAATGCATCAGTGTGAAGCTTAACTTTGTAATAGAGAGAGCAAGAGGCTCTGATATTCCCTACATCATTTGAGGTAACAGCAGGCATAGCAGTTCTGGTTCGGTGTATCTTCTAGAGGCAAAGGTGTTACTGTTGTTCTTTTTAAACCCAGTGATACTGGCTCTGGAGTTACATAGCCTATATGGGAAAAACTTGCTTTTGTTAGTAAACTAAGCTGATGAGACTCAGAAGGTACTTAGAGAGCCTGCTATGTGTAGTGTCAAGGGGATAATCTTTAGTTAATATTTCTAAAGTGCTTTGAAAATGAAAAACATTACATAAGTGCTGAGGATCTGCATTATTTTTCAGCCCATAGTCTTTCCACAAAAACTACCCTCTCCACCTTCCACCCCTTGAGATCCTTGGGTTGTATCAGGCTGAGTAGCTCTGGAAGTGATGGTCACACATCACATATATATTGTCACCACTAGCAGGAAGCACCCGCTATTTCCACCCACTCCTCTGCCCCATCCTGACTGGGTGAGACCCCCTTTAGGAGTGGAGAAGGTGGTTTGGACTCTTGCTTAGAGGAAAGGACTGGTGAGTTTCTGGTGCTGGGGACACAGTTCTATAATGGGATAGAATGAAAGGAGCATTCAATTGGGAGTCTAGAGTCCTGGATTCTAGTCCTAATTCTGCCGCTTACTACCTATGTGACCTTATGAAAATCAGTTCTTCTCCTTGGGCTTCAGTTTGTAAAATTAGGAAGCAGGGGTACATGAGCCTTAAGGTTTCTTCCAGATTTGAAATTCCATATAGCTATGTACATACAGAATCAGTTAGAAATTGAGATCTGTTTTAATGATAGCTGATGTTTATACAGGGTTTTAATGTCTATAAAGTGCTTTTCATACATTGTCTCATTTGACACACACAATAACTTTGGGAGCTAAGTGCTTCAGGTATTATCCTCATTTTATAGATGAGGAAACTGAGGCTCAAAGAACAAAAATTATTTACTTGCCTATGGTTCCATGGCATACAAGTATGAGAGGTGGATCTTTTAGACTTGGATCTTTTGTAACTCAGGAGTACAGATTTAGAACTGGAAGTCACCTAGTCCAAGCCTCTTACTTTACAGATGAAGAAACTGAGTGAGGCGCAGAGGGTCTATGTGATATGGTCAGACAGGTAGGTAGTTTATGGCAGAGTTAAGATTTGAGGTCTTCTGACTCCAGATCCAGCACTCTTTCCATTACACAGTGCTGGGATTCCACTTCTAACACTTTTCCCTCCAAGCTTACAGGGCTGATAGGAGGAATAATGAGATAACATATGTAAAGTCCTTTGTAAACATTAAAGCACTACATAAAGTCAGCTATTATTATGGGTTTTATTATACCATGCTGCCTTTTTAATTTGAGATGTAAAAGTCTCCTTAAATGCTTTATTCTCTCAAGGAGATGACCCTGAGTTCTGAAAGGCTATACCATGGTGTAGTAAGCTGCTGTAAAGATTTTGTTTTTGGCTGTCTTACAAACTGTGTGTTTGTCAACTGCTGACTTTTCTAAGTCAATGCAGAGAGACTTGGGACCAGTAGGTTGGCCACCAGCTAATCAGTTTTCCAGCTAAGACCACTGGTGAAAGGGCTGGATCAGTGCAATAGCCTCCTGGTTGATCTCTCTGCTTCAACTCTCTCCTCGCTCCAGCCCATCCTACACTCAGTTATCAATGTGATCTTCCTAAAGTTTGACCATCTCACCCCCTATTCAGTAAGCTCCAGTGACTCCCTTTTGCCTTCAGAATCAAATATAAAATCTTCTGTCTGGCTTTGGAAACCCTTCATAACCTGAACTCTTTCTACTTTTCAGTCTTATTAAATTTTACTTCCTTCCATGAACACTAGGATCCAGTGACTCTGGCTTCCTTGCTATTCCTCAAACACCAAAGCTCCATCTCTGGAATCTGAGCATTTCCACTGGCTGTCCCCTATGCCTGGAATGCTCTTTCTTCTTATCTTTGCCGCTTAGCTTCCTTCCCCAGCTTCCTTCAGGTCTCCCCTAAAATTACACCTTTTGCAAGAAGGCTTTCCCTGTCCCCCATAGGGATTATTTCAAATTGTTTGTACACAGTTGTTTTTATGTTGTCTAGCCCATTAGATGGTGAGTTCTTTTGAAGGCAAGCAGGGACCGTTTTGGCCTTTCTTGGTATTCTAGAGCTTAGCACAGTGCCTGACTCACAGTAGTTGTTTAATAAATGCTTGTTGACTGAGAGCTACAGGGATTTGGGCAAAGGGAATACCCATACACATATATGTAGGGGGTCCATTAAAGTACTTTGAGCTCAGTTAGTTGTGTGTGGAGGCTTTACAAATGGACTGACACCCCTTTTCAATTTTCAAAGAATCTTCCCATCTATTATGCTATTTGACTCTTACATCGATTCTTAGGCAGGGCAGTTGGTATTATCCCTATTTTACATGTGAGAAAACACGCTGAGACATTGACTTGCAATTAGAAAGCTAGATAATGGAAAATATCCGTGTTTCCACTGCCTTTCTTCAGGAAGCTTACAATCTAGTCAGGCATTTGAGACAACCGCAGGAGAGCACCGGAGAATACATCTTACAGAATTAAATGCTAGACTACGGACAAGCTGAATTAGTTGTCAGCCGGCATGGGAGTAGTAGGAGGAAGTCGAGACTTGAGTTGCACCTTAAGGGGCAGGTAGGGTATGGACAGTGGCGGGGAGGGGGTGGAGAGAAGAGGGGAGAAAGAGAGGGATGTGATTGATGTGGTACATGGAGAGAGATGGATGACGTGGAGTTCTACCACTTCAGCCTCATCTACTGAACCCTCACCGGGGTTAGGTGCAGGGCACTGGCTGGAAACGCACCCACCCCCGCCCTCTCTCCCGGGGTTGAGTTTGGGAAACAGGAACCGAAGGGTTAAACAGGGTTCCTTCCTTCTGCTGGAGAAAATGAGAGTTTCCAGGGAGGCTAGGCGTTCCGGAATGGGAGGATCCCCAGCTTCAGCCGCACCTCCCGGGGAGGGCTTCAGGAAAAACCTACAATTCTCCACCCGGGAAGGAGGATCATCCCAGCATGCTCTTTTTGGGTCCTGCAGACCTGAATCTGTCCAAGAGCAGAGTATTGTGGGAGTTGTAGTCCAGTCCCCTCTTTCTCTCTCTCCATTTCTTTGCCCAGGGAGGCTAAGGCTTTAGGCAAGCTGTAGGGGAGGAGCCCAAAGTAGCTGCATTAGCAGGATAGGCTGCATCAGGGGGTGGACCGAAGTTTGTTTGTTTGTCTTTTTTTTTTTTTTTTTGTAAGGGTTGGGGAGAGGTAGTAATCTCTTTGTATTAACCCTTCCACAACCCAGGGTGACCCAAGCATTTGGTAGATGACAGATATTCTCTCTGGGATCCTTTAAGGGGTGTGGTTTAGCAGCACGTGGTCGTGCTCTGGGACTTTCCTACCCTGAAGAGGTCTCCTGAGTAGGAGGTAGATTTTTCCAGGGGGCAGGCTCTAAACTCCAGGCTTTTGAGTCCTTAGACTCGATCTGGTGGTTTGGTGAATTTGTCCTATTGAAAGTATAATGCAAGGCTTTCCAGGATAGAATTCTCTGCAGTAAGGAGCAGAATTACACATAGAATCACAGAGCCTTTGAGTCATGAGGTAATTCCTAGCTTAAAGCATCATGGATTTAGAGATTTTAGGAAGAGACATAGAGATAGTGTAGATCATCCTCCTAATTTTACAGATGAGGAAACTGAGGGTGAGGAGGTGAAGTGCCTAGCTGTTCATGTTCAAATTGCTTGTAAGAAGCAGGTCTGGAGTCCCCCAATCCAATTAGGGCTGTAATGACAGTGGGGAAGTGCCCTGTTTGTGGACCCAGATGGAAATCCCCTTCAATGTTCAGGTTCCTTACATTTGTATTTTCGCCAGGAATAGTTATGGGTCCAATTATTACACAATTCATGCATATATTACACTGCTGTGTCTAGCTATCCCAAGGCATGAATCTCTTTCACAATCATTCTCAAGTTGGGATCATTCAACCTCAGTTCAAATACCTCCAGTGACAGGAGACTCACCATCTCATTCCATTTCCAGACCTCCCAGATGAAACAAAGGGACTTGACTTGGCTGCATTTGTAAGAGGTGGGTGCAGAACAGCTGTGGGGCTGAGGGCAGCCTAGGGAAGAAGGGAAGTGTTAAAAATTTTCTAATTAGCCCTAGTGCAAAATCACCTTTTTAACCAGTCCTTTCCTGATTGGAGGTTTCTATATCCAGTGACTGGACAATTAGAGTAGAGGTATATTATAATCACCTTAGATGCTGTAGTTGTCATAAGACTGGGAAAGAGGGAAGGTTTTCTTGAACTTTTTGGTTGTGGCAGAAGCAGAGAGATTCAGTCCAGATGTTAGAGGTTTGGAGGTACAGGGGAGATTAGCCAGATGTGGCATTGGACAGTGGGCCCTGGGGGAAGAGCAGTCTTCAAGGTTCTAAGTTCTCATTTTCCTGCTCTGGAAATTTCGTTGCCTCTTTTTTCCTCCTGTAAAGTTTAAGGCTGGGATTATTTAATTATTTATTTTTTGGGTCATGAAGTTTGCCTTCTAATTCCAAGGGAATTATTCTAGTTACCTATAAAAGGAGAAATATTTAATGTATGCACAATGCTAACATTGCCTTTATTTTTATTTTATATTAAATCTTGATGGATTGATCTCAACAGAATTTCCTATAGGTCAGGAGCTCAAAGGTCTTAAAGACCATTATTATCCTTACCCTCCTTTCTTCAGACTGATCTCTAAAATACTCAAAGTATTTACTGTGTAAGTTGCTTTGAGAAAACACTAGTCAAAGAAAAGTTTTGTGCTTGAATTGTTGATGCTGCTCACAAGAGAGAGGAATTTTGAATATTTTGGAAATTAAAATTAGGGTGTGTTCCTTTTGTAAGAGAAAATGAGAAACCATGACCTGGCCCCCTCTCCCCAGTGTAAATAGAGTGTTTCTCTTATATGATCAGATAGAATCATAGAATGCAGAACTATAGATCAGTCAGTCCAACCCCTGTATTTTGTAGATGGGGAAACTGAAGAGCAAAGAAGTTAAGAACAATATGCTCATACATTTTTTTTTTTTTCTGGAGAGTTGATCGTTGGACATTTACCAGAATATCCCTAGGTTAAGTCACTTGCCCAAGGTCACATAGGCAGAAAGTGTCTCAGTCTGAAATGTAACCCAGGTCCTCTGCCTCCAAATCCAGGAATTGCTACCATTGACCATGCTTTAGATGTAGTAGATTATAAAGCCCTAGAGGCAAGAACTGGTTCATTTTGTATTTTGTATTCTCAGAGCCTAGCTCGTTGGCTATATATACCCAGGAAGCATTTAATGTTTGTTCAGTTAAACGGAAAAAACAAAACAAAACTGTATTTTCAGCTCTGTATACTGCCTACCTACAGTGGAGGATATAACAATTATAACCCCAGATCAGCCAGATTAAAGAGTTTGGATTTGATTTTCTTAGGCAGTAGTGAACCATTGCAGACTCTTTTTAAGGAGTTCTCTTCAGTGAATTTTTGTGCCTCCTTTTCCATTTGGCCAATTCTACTTTAAAGGGCTTGTTTTCTACAGTTAATTTTTGTCCTTCCTTTTTCAAGCTATTGACTCTCTTGCATACCTCTCATTTCTTTTCCCAATTTTTCTTCTACCTCTCTTATTTGACTTTTAAACTCCCTCTTGAGCTCTTCCAAGAAGGCTTTTTGGCCTTGAGACCAGTTTATATTCCCCTCTGAGGTTTCAGATTTGGGTATATTGATGATGTTCTCATCTGAATTTGTGCCTCGATCTTCCCTTTCCCCAAAATAAGAATCTATGGTTATTTTCCATTTCTGCCTTTTGTTTATGGTGTTTGCCTATTTCCTGAGTTTAAAAACGCACACACACACACACACACACACACACACACACACACACACACACACACACACACACACA